CTGACCTTGCGAATACAACGGGGCGTTTTTACCGCTGCGCTGTCAACTGCTTCACCCACAATTCGTCTGTACTGATATTTTAATTGTCATTCACAGCTGAAGTAATCAACAATTTATGTAATGTTAAATTTGCATTTTTCTAACACAAAGTCGTCTCGCAAAAGATCCACAATGAGATAAAACAGATAAATAACATTTCATGACTTGGAAGAGTAGTTTAGCCCCAATTTATTTCTATAATTCGCAACTTTTGATGTTTGGGGAGTAAGTAATACTAATGCAATGCAATGTATAGTAGGTAACTAACGAAGAAAATGTACTAATACAAAGGGTTTAGGTACTATGGACAGGTATCCTAATCGTAGGCATGTCAAGTGGTATAGCTACGAAAATGTAAATAACAACCTAATCTAATAATAAGAAATACCTGTATATGTCGTGGCGTAGCAATGTATTAAGGTTAAAAAAGGCCTAGTAAGGTAAAATAACAGTTCGCCGCGACCCTACAGACGTCTTTCGCGTTTGGCGTGAAATTATTATGACATAATTAATCTGACGTTTCTAACGACATTCGAATTTTCTCCGAGTGGGCGTGTCTTAAAGCTTCAATCTTTACGGCTTGCAAAATGGTCGTCTGTCGTCGAGCAGACCCCAAAAAAAGACAAAATTAAATATGAAAATGCGAAAAAAACGTTACAAAAATGCCCCCGAATTTTATAGGGCAATTTCTTCCTTCCTAGAGAGTGCATTTTAACGTATTTACGGCCGCATTTCGAATCCCGCGTTTGATTTCGCGGAAAGTTATACATACAAAGTTGGAAGAAGGCACCCGGTCGATAAATATGAGCATTTTCGGCACGGTTTTAAATAAAATATCGTAGAAAATGGGGGAAATAAAAAATAAAAAAGCCGTACCCGCGCGCGATTCGAGGCGATCGGCGACCGCCAGATTTCAGCGGGTGGGCGTGTCGGACTATTGCGTTTCACACAAAAATTGGGCCGCGCCCCTCGCAGAGCCTGAAGAAAACTCAAAATTCACCGCGAAGACGACAAAAAATCGCCATCGAAATACGCCGTTCGGACGAAGGAAGGCCGGCGGTGGGCTTTGCCCCCCCGCAGGTCGCCGCTGCGCAGCTCTCCCGAAAAGCCTATGTGGCAATAAGTCGGCGCTTTTTCGGGGCGATCGTGCGACGCAGACGGAGCTATCAGATTTTAATATATATTGATTTTAACGTAAAAACAAACATGATATATGAAAATATAATACAGCCACAGAAATTAATTTTATTCTCTATAATTTTACTCATAAATTATAGATATATAGAGATTGTAATTTTATAGTGATAATCATATTTTTAAAGATACAATACAACTTGGATACCAAACGTTATCGCCAACCACTTTCTACTCTCGTATTCCATTTTGAAACAATTTATTTCCAAACCATTATTAATTTTCTCTTAATGTTCTCCAAAGCCTTCACTAAAAAAAGTTAAAAACAAATTATCAGTAGTTATTCAGAAATGAGGTCCTATTATACAAAGTTGAACAATATTTACTTTTTATTTTTTTAGTTATTTATTACTTTACGCTAACAATTTCAGGGTGATAAAAAAATGGAAGAAATATATTAAAGAGATATATAACACTATCAAGTTTATTTACTTAATATATATTAATACGTACAAGACAAATATGGATTAGATAAGTTATAAAAATTTGTTTAAAACGTTTTCAAAATCTTCGATAGATATCGATTATCAATTAGAGTAGAGTGATTATAAAAGTATGAATTACTAATTAAACATAGATACGTACTAGGATATTTCTTTTTATGCATCATCCTATTTCGTCATAGAACTCCCCAAAAAGTCCATTACTATTTATATGTCCACATCTCAAGAACTTCAACAAATTTCATTTGCTTAATATCCATTATATTTCATTCAGAAGGAAGTTTTTCTTTTCAAATGCCAAGTATACTGCAAAAGAGATTTTTCTTTTACTGACCACAAATTTTATAGAATATTTTAAATTACTAAATAAGAAAAATATTTCGTCGCTGCCTTCAAAATCTGACGTGAACTTCATCAAATTGTTCAGTGGAGTTAAGAAACTGTTTCTTGACTTTTTTATTCAAGAATTACAATTATTTTTATTTTACCGCAGACAGTCACAATTCTGTAAAAAATAATATAGCTGTTTTTCAACAGATTATGCGTTTTGATGTTGTTTATCGAATGTGCAGAACTTATCGCGTTTTACTGAAAATATGCACGTCGCATTTTGAAGACGTAACGACGATATAAACTTACCAGGCATTTGGTCTGGAACTTCGAGTATCAAGTCGATAGAGAATCTTGATTATTTCTGGCAGGCAGGAAAGAATTATTTATTGATATGTTTTTCTTCTCTGTTTAACTAAAATCGATACTATGCTCTACAACAGCTACCGTATCTTAAATATAACACATTTTGTGGTAATCGACAACATAGATGATATTGAAACACAGAGGTTTTATCATTCAGTGAACATGTTCTTTCTTGAATTTTTCAGTTTCCTGCTAATAATTCTTCATATTTTGCTTCTCTTAAATATTGCACTTGAAAACAGTATCTACAAAGATGCTTGCATTAGTAAATAATTACATATATTACTTTGGAGTTTATTCCATCAGAAAAATATTGCAAATTATTGCAGAATATAAAACATAAACATATTTTTCTTTATCAAATATATTTAAGTGGATAATAAATTGTATGCATCAGATCAGTAATAATTATTAATACTCACCAAAATATTAACTATGTTAGCCTTCTCGTTAGGTCTTCCAACTTTATGGTATTCTTTCCAGCAATACTCTGTAAATATTTTTTAGAACAGCCTTGAATTGTGTCTCTTGCAAGTTCATATAGCATATGTATCAATAACTGTCTGTCTTAGAGAATTTTTGTCTAGATTACAACTCGAGCCAACCTAAAAAAAAATGTCCATTACTTTATGCGTTCTTATGTTAATTATTATATAATGTATTTTGTAGTACGTAAATGCATGAAACTAACGGTGTTGGTTGCTTTGAATCTAATGTAAATTATTTAAAATTACAATTTATTTCTAAAAAAGTTTATTATCATTTAGAAATAATCGCTTTGGTGCTTGCCCGAGTGCTTGCCATATATAATAAATGATATAAAACTTACCTTATAATTTGCATTCTTGCCATCACAGTAAAACAAATTTAAGTCAGACGATAGAAACTAATCGCTGTACTACTCCTGGAAAACTACTCCAGCTATGTGATGATAAACAATTTGTCAGGAACTAATTACTGTCTAATGAATTGTCAAGAACCAAAGGTTGGAAGCGAGGCTGGACATTGCACTGCTTACATTCCAATTCTACTTCACACCCTTGGGTAGCCGTGATACAATACAGTGTACCATATTCCACTTCTTTTCTATTTTAATCTAATCGCTGATGAACGTGGTAATTATAAATATCTGTAAATAAGTTTCTTTAAATTATTGTTAAAACGAAGATTTTAATTTCATTACTATCACATTTGTTAAACATACTTCCATTTAAGTTTTATTAAAATTATATTTTTGTATTCTCAAATGTTTGAACTAAATTAAAACAAATCACACTAAATGGATTGTCATTTCAATACCGTAATAGATTTTATTAACAAAAGATTAATATATTTTGTGTGAGAAGAAAATTACTGAAAGTTAATACAACGTATTTTTTACGTATATAAATGGAAGTATAAATAGGTATTAATGTTTTTCTTCCGAATATGAAATATATAAACAAATGCATTTCTAAAAATGTCATTTATTATTTTCAAAAGTTGGATAATCTAGATAATAAACATAGGAATAATAATCAAAATTTAAATTTACAACTTACCTTGAAATTCACACCAAAACAAAACCGACATATTTCCGACAGATGACAGAAATTCTGGATCGCGCTGTTTCCGATTTACGAATATTTTGCGGCAAATTTGATAAGAACTAATGGTTAACTAAATAAATCTGTCAGGGTCCAATTGTCATCCAGCAGGCTGTCAGCCACCAATCATAAAAACCTATCAGGCTGGAAGTGATGTCACGTTGCTCATATCCCCATTCTAGTTTCACCCCCATGCCCTACACCTTCTGACACAAATACTGACACTGGATCAGAATCCTTGGTCCATACTGCAGTACCCATCCGAACGAAGAAAAGAAAATTGGATGGAAGTTTTACTGCAGACGATGTAGCATATTCACGTGCTCTGGATATATTGCAAAAACCTGCTGACAGTTTTCAAGTTTTTAGTGACTATGTTGCTTCAGAACTGAGAGAGATGACTGAAATAAGCCGAAAAAAAGCAAAGTTAGAAATATCCAAAATTTTATTGAAGTACGTAGAAAATGAACCGACCCATCAGCTTCATCTATTGAAGTTGTACAACCGCCAAAGACGACAAATGGTGGTAGTGTGCGCCCTTGGGAATATTATGAACGTTCACAGGAGTGGCTAATGACAAACAATGGCGAATCTCAGACTGAATCCTACATGCTGCCACTACAGGGACCCAGTGCTTTATTCCCAAATCAAACTTCATATCCGCTAAATTATGTGTGGAAGGACCGCGATACGATTATCAGAGAGATAATCAAATATTCTTCCTGCAGACAGGCATAAATAGCATTGCAACATTCGGGAATGATTCGTGTGATTGTGGTTTGAGGAATTCTGAAGAGGTACATTAACGATTTATAGGAGTCGCCTGCAAATTAAAAAATATACAAGGAACGACTGTCTTGGCGCAATTAAGTAGGTTAACTTACCAGTTGCTAAATACCGTAAAGTAACAGCAAGTCATTCGTCAGGAGTAATTGCTTTCCTCATTCGTGTATCTTGTTTTCCCATATTAATTCCAATAAATACTGAAAATCAGATGCGCTCATGCGCAAAATTTTTTTATAATAACCAAGATCTTCATTACGCAATTATTTCATCAATTTGCTATATGATCCTTGCTCATTCCTTTTCACTATCAGTCCCTCACCCATATTTTTCTTTTGGGTTTTTGTTTTGCACGCCTTCGTTTTAAATTATGAAGAACAATAACAGCAGCAGCAATTTTATTTCGCGACATTTTACAAGACTAGCAAACCGACAGAACCACCTTGCTGAAACACAAAGATCGCAACTAGTGGACACACTTGGTGAAACATTGTATCGTGAATTTCTTGATACAATGTTGCATATACATACGTAGCACGCAACTCGCTGCTAAGTGGACAGATGACGGCAACATTTGTAGCGCAACAAACATATTGTTGCGCTACAAAGGTATCCAGTGGACCCGTACCTTTAATGTTTATGGAGAATTTTTTTGAATTTATAACAATATTTAATTAACAACTTCTTAAAACTTTTTGGCAACTGCACAATAATGTATTGTATGTATGTAATGTAACAGATTTCAACTTATAAAAGTCTTGTATTTGGGTATAGCTTGATATAACAAATATTTATTTTGACTACATTGGAAAGATATAAAGAATAAGAGATTTCGGATTTTTTAAAATCCTTAACAAACCATATTTAGGTAGGTTTTGTTGAAAGAATTAAATATTTAGCCGATAATTGATAATAAATAAATTACTTAACCACCACATCAAACACTAAAAATCAAAATAACTCGGAAACGCACAGGAATTTCGAAACAGATGAAGTGACATTATTTTTGTTAAACTGTATGTAGATAATGAAAATAACAGTTTTTTTTAATAGTCATTGGCGTAGAAGTTCTATTTAAGAAAGGGGTTGAGCACTCCCTCCACTCCACTAATGTGCAAGTTTTTGAACATTCTTATCGCTTGTTTTATGTCCCTTAATTAATAGGCATTATCCCCCAAACATGAAAAAAATCTAAGCATTCGTTTATAAGTTATAATGAAAATTCGAGAAAAAAAAATTATATTCAACACCCTGTATCTCGGAAACGAAGCCTTCTACGACATATGTTTATAGGAACTTTTCTTTTCAAAAACACGTGTTCTGACTCACCCTGTATAAATACATTTACACGTTTTGTGAATTATATTAATTGTATTTATTTTTATTTGTTGTAGTCTTTCATATTGTTATTAACAATAAAAAAAACTGAGCTGTATTTTTCTTCGAATTTCTCTATTTTTAAGTAGAATCTTTATCTTTAAAAGTCTAAATAAGTCTTTCAGATTTCTGCCAAATTGCGCAAAAAACAAATTCTCGCATACCCATCTCGGCTTGCATCTGTATAGACGACTATATCTAAAGCAGGATCAAATATGTGTAATATTGGCTGTGAACAAATTTTCTGTTTGAGGGATTCGACAATATCTGTATGGTCCCGCGACCACTTCCAAGGAACATTTTTTGTAACAATTTTGTTGGTGACGCTGTTTGTCGAGTAAAATCTTTAATGAATTTACGGAAATATCCAACAAGACCAAGAAATTGCCTCGGATTATGTTGATTTTTAGGACATGGAAAACGTGATACCGCTTCAGTTTTATCGGTCGAAGGAGTTATTTGCTTAATTTGATGGTTAGGCCGTAATCTATCAATGCAATGTATCAAGAATTTTGGTTAGTAAGTGTAGACCCTCAGGTATTGTTTTGGATGGAATTAAAATGTCATCTAAATATGATATGGTATAATGGTATAATTCTCGAAACGGTAGTAAAATTTCACTCATAAATTGTTGAAAAACTGCCGAGGCAGTACAAAGCCCGAAAGGGAAGCGCACATACTCATAGAGGCCCTCCGGTGTTATGAATGCCGTATATGGGATTGATTTTTCATGCATGGGTATCTGATGATATCCAGCTGCTAAATCTAAGTTGGTGAAGTACCTGTATCCATGAAGGTTATCAATTATGTCTTCTATAAGTAGCAGAAGGAACTTATTTTTAAAGGTGAATTTATTTAACGCTCGGTAGTCGACAACGAGCCGTTTAGTACCGTCTTTCTTGTTCACTAATAAAGCAGGACTTGAATATGAAGAAGTACTCTTCCTAATTATTTGAGCATCCAGTAGTTCTTGAATAAGAAGAATGTTTGTTTATCTTTTTCTGAACAATGGTATGCGCGATGAGTCACGGGACGGGTGGACATTAATTCTATTGATACCTTTACTGAGTGTGCCTTCCCCAAAAAATTTAAGTTCTGAAAGTTACAACATTCGTGTTCTTGTAAATTGATCTCAAGCGCATTTCTATCAGCCGCTGAAATATTCTCATACTTGACATCATTTAAGCAGGGAATAGGAGTATCCGTTACTTTATTTTTAAATGATAAGATGTCATCAACACGAGTGTATGTAATGTTTTTATGTTCTGTGAAATTTCTGCCGATTAATATATCCGTGTGTAATATGTTATATCAATAACATAGTACATTATATTTAATTCAACTTCATCGATTTTGGTTAACGTTGTTATATAGTGAGTAACGATCGTACCTACACCGAGAAAACCGGATACGGTTACAGGAAATTATAAACATTGACTATGTTTAAGGTGGCGGCAAGCGTTTTTGTAATGAGAGAACTATTACTGCCAGAGTCAATAAATGCTGAAACTTCATTACCATTAATAAAAATTTGTTTATAAAATTTATCACAATTATTGCTAGTATTAATGAGATTGACTTGTTTATTTACAAAATAGGTAGTACTTTCCACTTTAGGATTTTGTTTTGCTGCTAATGTTTTCTGTTTATCGAGACAAGTTCGTTCGAGATGACCTTTTCGTTTACAAAAATTACAGATCTGATGTCTATGTGGACACGTATCTCGATTGTAACATGCTGAACAGACTGAATTATTATTTGGTGTTTACTTTATGAGATTTAAAATTGGAAGTACTAGTACTACTTGATCGATCAAAGAAATTTTGAAATGATTTTTGAGAAGTAAATGCTGGGTTTGAGCATATTTTGTTTAATAAATAAGCGCCCAAATCATTAGGGTTTTTTATATTCGATGCTTCCAAGGCGGCTGTTATAGTGCTATCATTGATAGCTCCGGTAATTAAGGAAACCTTATCCACATCAGAAAAATTTAATTTTAGCTAATTAATTTTAGCTAAATGTTCAAAATGAAAGTCGTACAGTGAACAGTCCTCTCTTGGTTTATGATTCATGAGGTCAGTAAGTAACTGATACACGTTGCGCCCACTTTTGAATGTGTTCAGAAGCACGTCTTGCCACTCTGCCCTAGTAAATTTTGACCACCCCATCTCGCTCTCAATGTAGCTATTGTACCAAGTCTTAGCGGTACTCTTTAGATTATTTAAAACTTGATAATACAATAAAATTATCTGATCATTTATATAGTTTTTCATTGTATTGAATTATTTCTATCCAATCGGTAATTTCCATAGTATTGGGATGGAATTCTAGTCCACGAGCCCACGTACAAAGAAAAAAAAATGATTACCAGCAAGCTGTAACTTTGCGTGTAGCCTAAGTTTGACAAGTTTCCCAAGATTTGACTACGAGGAAAATTCAAGTGGTAAGTTTTCTCGTGATTTTCAGGAAAAAAATGTCAATCTGGCATAAACATGGAATGTTATGACCAGCACTTTTTTTTAAGTTTAAATGAAAGATATA